CCACTGCACTCCAGTCTGGGCAACAGAGTGAGACTCCAACTCAGAAAAAAAAAACAAAAAAAACAAAAAACAAAATATAGGCCGGGTGCAGTGGCTCAGTTTGTAAACCTAGCACTTTGGGAGGCTGAAGCGAGAGTATTGCCTGAGCCTGTAGTCCGGCTACTTGGAAGGCTGAGGTGGAAGGATTGTCTAAGCCCAGCCGGTTGAGGCTGCAGTGGCCGCGAGTGTACCACTTCACTCCAGCCTGGGTGACAGAGTAAGACTCCAACTTAAAAAAATAAAAATTGCCGGGTTTGGTGGCTTAGCCTGTAATCCCGCGCCTTTGGGAGGCTGAGGTGCGTGGATTGCCTGAGCCCGCGGGTTCGAGACCCACCTGGGCAACTTGGCAAGACCTCATCTCTACAATAAATAAAAAAACAGCTGGCCATGTAGCATGCGCCTGTAGTTCCAGCTACTTGGAAGGCTGAGGTGGAAGGATCACCGGAGCCCAGCAGGTCAAGGCTGCGGTGGCCGGGAGCGGCCACTGCACTCCAGTCTGGGCGACAGAGTGAGACTCCAACTTAAAAAATAATAAAAAATTAAAAAATTAAAAATTAAAAAAAAAAAATTAAATTAAAAGCAAAATATAATACTATGTGAATTAAAAAGAAGGAAAGCCAGTCTTAAAAGAAGTCAAAAGGAATTGGGAAGACTCAAGAATAGCAGCATATTATTAAGAAGAAAGGTAAGTCATACGCACCTGTCAAAGCATAGAGAAACTGCTCTTCTCCCTGCTCCACTTGGTTCCTTCTGTTGTCTAAAACCTTCTTGACTGTGTCCATTAAGCCAAATGTATGTGCTACATTGTTGAGAACAGCAGCATCTATTTAAAACAAAAGATATACTTGTCAAGTTAAAACAGAAATATTCCACCAACTCCCTTGAGTTCTGATTACAAATATGAAACAACTCAGAAATTATGGGGCTCTCCTAATTGCCTTTTAATAAGTTTTTATAAAAATTTAGCACATGGGCCAGGCTCAGTGCCTCAGCCTGTAATCCTAGCACTTTGGGAGGCAGAGGCGAGTATATTGCCTGAGCCCATGGGTTCAACACTAGCTCGGGCAACTTGGTGAGACCTAGTCTCTATAATAAATCAACAATTAGCTGGGCGTGGTAGTGCACGCCTGTAGTTCCAGCTACTTGGAAGGCTGAGGTGGAAGGATCGCTAGAACCCAGCAGGTTGACGCTGGGATGGCTGTGAGTGTGGCACTGCTCTCTAGCCTGGGCAACAGAGTGAGACTCCAACCAAAAATAAATAAAAAAAGATTTAGCACACGTATAACAAATTTAGTTGTTAGATTTTTGTAAGTCTTTCCATATAAGTAAGTACAAAAGTAATAACGAAAAATATCTTGCATTTGTTGATAGGTTCTGCCTTTCAGTTTAGAAAACACTGTGCTAGCTAGAGCTAAGTTGGAATCTCAGTTTTGCTATTTCCTATCTGTATGATATTGGGTAAATCATTTCACCCCTCATTTTTTCAACTGAAACAATTCAGACTAATAATACTTAGTCTGGAAAACAGATATCAAGATTAGACATATCATGCTTAGGGGGTCAAACAGGAAAATGGCATGCAATATTGCTATTAAAAAATAGTATTATATCTGTTTCTCTCTACACAAAACTTCTTAAAAGAATTGTCAGTATTTGTGGTTATTACTTCCTTAACTCGGACAACTCCACCTATACTTCCTCCCATGGTCCTTTCACTTAGTTCTATGGTAGTTTTTTTTTTAAAAGAGACATTCAACCAGGCACGATGGCTCAAACCTATAATCCCAGCACTTAGGGAGGCTGAGGTGAAAGGATTGCCTGAGCCCAGGGTTTGAGTCCAGCCTGGGCAACTTGGCCAGACTTTGTCTCTACAATAAATAAAAAAATTAGCTAGGTGTTGTAGCAAACACCTGTAGTTCCAGCTACTTGGAAGGCTGAGGTGGAAGGATCGCCTGAGCCCAGTAGATTGAGGCTGTGGTGTCCGTGAGTATGCACTGCACTCCAGCCTGGGCAAGAGAATGAGATTCCAACTCAAAAAAAAAGTAAAAAGAAAAGAAAACACTCTGTCACTTAGGCTGGAGTGCAGCGTGGTACATGATGGCTTACTGCAGCCTCAAATTCCTGGGCTCAAATGATCCTCCTGCCTCAGCTGCCTGAGCAGCTGGGACTAGTTAAAACTTTTTTTTAGTGACAAGGTCTCAATATGTTGCCCAAGTTGATCTTGAACTCCTGACATTAGCCTTATTAGTAGCTGGAATTACAGGCTGGAATTACTACTTTGTCTGGTAGTTCCATGGTTTTAAATAATACATACATGCTGAGAACTCCTACATGTGCATTTCCAGATCTGATTTCTTTCCTATTTTCCACATTTATACTTCCATGTATATGAGTAACATCTCCAAGTGATGGCCTCATACTTATCTCAATTTAATAGATCAAAAACTAATTTTAGCTGGGTGTGGTAGCTCATGCCTGTAATCCCAGTATTCTGGGAGGGGGAGATGAGAGGGCTGCCTGAGCCCATGGGTTTGAGACCAACATGGGCAACTTGGCGAGACCTCATCACTACAACAAAATAAAAAAATTAGCCAAGCATGGTGGCATACGCCTGTGGTTTCAGCTACTTGTAAGGCTGAAGTGAAAGGATCACCTGAGCCCAGCAGGTCAAGGCTGCAGTGGCTGTGAGCATGCCACTGTACTCTAGCCTAGTAACAGAGTGAGACTCCTACTCAAAAAAAAAAAGAATAAAACCCAATGTCCTGACCGAGGCTTATCTAAATTCTAAATTGTCCCCCCTGTGCCCCTCCACTGTCATCATGTATCACTATCCTTATAGCTTAACTCCATTTCAGCTACACAGGTGTTCCTGTAATTTTTTGAACCCAGCACTTTGTGTGGCTGAGGTGAGAGGATTGCCTGAGTTCACAGGTTCAAGACCAGCCTGAACAGCTTGGTGAAACCTCATCTCTACAATAAATTATTAAAAATTAGCCAGGCATGGTGGAGTGTACCTGTAGTTCCAGCTACTTGTAAGGCCGAGGCAGAAGGAAAGATCACCTGAGCCCAGCAGGTCAAGGATGCAGTGGCCCTGAGTGTGCCACTGCACTCTAGCCTGGGTGACAGAGTGAGACTCCAACTAAAAATATTTTTAAATAAAGACTTTTCTGTAAAGTTTAAGTATATGGTATATAAGGGTTATAGAGAAGTAATAAGAAACAACAAATCTAAGTAAGAACTCACTGCTCATGAGGTCTCATCATACCCCATTTGTATCAGATGATTAGAACATCCTTTTACATTCTGCACAGGAGCAAGCTTCCTGTGAGTATCAGCTATAAGTGAACACAATGGTTCAAGAATAATTAAATTAATACGATATGAGAATCAGATAAAACGAGGTAGATGTCTCAGAGAGAAAGACAAAGAATCTGAAAATATGTACATTAAAAGAGAGTGCAAAAACAAACAAACAAACAAATACTGGGCTCGGTGGCTCAGCCTGTAATTCTGCGCCTTTGGGAGGCTGAGGTGAGTGAATTGCCTGAGCCCGCGGGTTCGCGACCCACCTGGGCATTGAGACCTCATCTCTACAATAAATAAAAAAATCAACCGGGCGTAGTGGCGGATGCCTGTAATTCCGGCTACTCGGAAGGCTGAGGCAGAAGGATTGCC